AAAAAAATACATATATATAACATAAAAATATTTATTTATTACAGTTAGACAAAATATTCTCAGAAAAAAAAAAATGACCAGTATTTATAAAGGGATAATTTTTTTTCATTGTGATTTGGGTGAAAGTTTACAGAACAAATTCACTTTCCATACAGCAGTTTACATGCACTTTGTCTCATGATATTGACTACAATTTACCACAATGCAACAGCTCCCACTTCCTCCCCATAGTTACCTCTTCACTGTGTCGATCCTCCATGCACTCCTGCCCCCTGAGCTGTCTCCCTGTGCATACACAGCCCTTATATTCTCCCATGATTGTTCTCTCCAAGGATTATATCTATCTAGTGTAAATGTTCACCTCATATGCCTGTTTTTTGTTTGGCTGGAAGCCACAGAAGTTGGTTCAAGTCCAGACCTGAATGGCAGCTCAGGGCCATAGTCAGTGGTTCCACCAGGCTCTATCAGACCAGCAAACTTGATCCCTTTCCCCTTCCCCAAATGATTTTGAGTTTTGTTCCACATTGTTCTTATAAAGGGATAATTTTTAATGTTTACTATAGGTTACACCCCCCCTTTTCCCCTGTATGTAATAACCTTGTAATCTCTCTATTTAAGACAAACATTGTCCCTTACCAGGTTGTAACATCCTGTCATGATAAAGTTGGTAGTTTTTTAATGTTTTATAGAGTAGAAATACAAGGAGAAGTGAGTGGAAATATATTAACCAAAAAATTTTTTTAAGAAGCTTTATTGAGATAGTTCACATCCCTTATGATTTATCCATTTAATCTGTACAATTCAATGGCTTTTTGAATTCATAGATATGTGCAACACATACCTGTGCTATGCCACAGTCAGTGCTAGAACATGTTCATTATTTAAAAAAAAATAAAACCCCATGTATCCTTAACTCTCACACTTCTATCCCCTTCTCCCATCCCCATAGCCCTAAGTAATCACCTGTTTTCTGTCTCTATAGATTTGCCTATTCTGTATATTTATTATAAAAGGAATAATAAACTAGGTGGTCTTTTGTGACTGGCCTCTTTCAGTTAGCATAATGTTTTCAAGAATCATTCATGTTGCTGCAGGACAGTTCCCATATACCCCCTTTTCCCATCTTCTGCACATGATATCTCCTATTATTAACATATTTTATTCCTGTGGTACCTTTGTTCCAGTTGAAGAACCAATATAGACACATTATTGTTAACTAAAGTGCATAGTGTACATTAGGGTTCACAATTTGTATTGAATATTCCTGTGGACAAATGCTTGTTCTGTGTCCACCATTACACCTTCATACAGGTCCTGTGCTCCATTTATTCATCACACTTTCCCCTGAATCCTGGCAATAACTGGTCCTTTCACTGTCTCTTAGCTTTATCTTTTCTAAAATATCTATAGTTGAAATCATACAGTATGTAGCTTTTCCGGATTGGTTGTTTTCACTTCATAATATGTGTTAGGATTCCTCCGTGTCTTTTCATAGCTTGATAGCATCTTTCTTTCTTTTATTTATTATTTTTAACACTGCATAATATTATATTATATGGATGCACCACAGTTTGTTTATTCATTTACTTATTGAAGGGCATTTTGATTGCTTCAAATTTTTGGCAAGTGAGAATAAAGCTTGTGTAAACATTTGAGTACAAGGCTTTATGTGGACATATATTTTCATCTCATTTATATAAATTTCTAGGAATATAGTTATGGCTTGTATGTATACATTTAGCTTTATAATAAACTGCCAAACTATCTTTCAAAGTGGTTGTGCCACTTTACATTCCCACCAGCAATGAATGCGTGTTCCTTTAGTTCCGTATCCTCGCTAGCATTTGGTGTTGTCAAGGTTTTGGATTTTAGTTATTATAATAGGTATTGTAATAAGCATGTAAAAGGTATAAATGATATCTCTATTATTTTTATTTGCATATGGAGTCCCTGGGTAGTGCAAATGGTTAATGAGCTTAGCTGCTCACCAAGTCCACCCAGAGATGCCTCAGAATAAAGGCCTGGTGATCTGAAAAAATAGCCACTGAAAACTGTATGGAGCACAGTTCTACTCTGTCACATGTGAGGTCACCAAGAGTCAGAACAGACTCGAGGGCAGCTGGTTGTTGTTGCTTTTTTTTCAATTTATTGTGATTTGGATGAAAGTTTACAGTTGTTGTTGTTGTTATGTGCCATTGAGTTGGAACAGACTCATAGCGACACCTCCTTGGTTTTCTGAGGCAGTATCACTACGGAAGTAGATTGCCCAACCTTCCTTCCAAGGAGTGGCTGATGGGTTTGAACTGCCAGCCTTCTGGTTAGCAGTCAAGTGCCTTAGGTACATTTCTGTACAGCAGTTCATATACATTTTGTTTCCTGAGAGGGCAGCTAATTTTAAATATTTTTCCTTTTGCATTGGTGATTTGGTGGTAGAATTGCTGTTTTCAGTGTGGTAGACCTGGGTTTGATTCCCAGCTAGTACACCTCATGTGCAGCCACTACCTGTCTGTCAGCGGAAGCTTAGGTGTTGCTATCATGCTGAGCAGATTTCAGTGGTGCTTCTAGACTAACTTAGACTATTAAGAAAGACCTAGTAATCTACTTCTGAAAATAAGCCAATGAAAATCTTATGGATCACAGTGGTCTGACCTGCAACAAATTATGGGTTGGTATAGGGTGGCCAGTGTTTGCTTTGTTGTACACGGGGTTGCTATGAGTTGAAGATCTACTCACTGCCAACAGTAACAACAAAATCAAGAAGAGTTAGAGTGCTCTTAATTGTTAAGGACTAATGACAATAGAGTTCTTGAAGCTTAAATATCTCAAATACATTGCTCATACAATTTATAGAAAATGCAGGTTAAGTCACCTTTGCCTTCCTATAAGTGCCTGCCATTTCAGATGATCTTCATGTTCAGTTGTGTGTTTACTTGCCTTAATTTTGTTTTGGGATTCAACTTTAAATGTGCACTGGAATATATTAACCATGATGCATATGTAAAGATACCAATCTTTCTATCCCAGCTCAGGAGTATTCTCCTGGGGAACATTAGATTCACCGGAGCCCTTATAGGAGTGTCCATTTTGACACAATGCAACTCTAGCAGTCATCTGTTCAAAAGCTGATATGTGACGATTCCCTCTCCCTTGGATGGTGTCATTTGTTCATATTTGACAAACCAGCTGAGATGCCAACCAAATGTGTTAAGGTATTTCAACTCACTAAGAGCTTCATGAGTTTTTCCTTATTTATTTATTTATTTATTTATTTATTTATTTTAACCTACCAGACTGAATCTTCTTATGACCCATGTATTTTTAACACCAAAGTATTATTTTAATTTCGTTTCAAGATTGAATTAACTTAAAGGTGTATTCCCATTTTCCCATTCTAATAATAATAGTGGGAATACACCTTTAAGTTAATTCAATCTTGAAACGAAATGAAAATAATACTCCCCATTCTAATAATAATAGTAGGAGCTCTGGTAGCTTAGTGCCTAAAGCACTTGACTGCTAACCAGAAGGCTGGTGGTTCAAACCCACCAGCCACTTCTCGGAAGGAAGATGGGGCAATCTACTTCCGTAGTGATACTGCCTCGGGAACCCAAGGAGGGGTAGCTATGAGTCAGGTGTGACTCGACAGCACATAACAACAACAACAACAATAATAGTAATAGTTAATGTTATATACTATGCAGTCTACCAAGTGGTTTTAGCCAGGGTATTTTATATAATCTTCACAACAATTCTAAATATAGAAAACATACATTCTTAAGGATAACTGCTTTAGGGTCATACAGCTAGCTAGTGAAAGCTGTTTTGAACACAGGCAATTATTCTCCAGGACTTATATGTGTGTGTGTGTGTGTGTGTGTGTGTGTGTATGTATCTTTTTTTATTATTATTATGATTTGAGTGAAAGTTTACAGAGCAAATTCACTTTCCATACAGCAGTTCACATACACTTTGTCTCATAACATTGACTACAATTTACCCCCATGCTACAGCTCCCCTCCCACTTCCTCCCGAAAGTTACCTCTTCCCTGTGCCCCTCCCTCCGTGCACTCCTGAGCCCCTGAGCTGTCTCCCTGTGCATAAACAGCCCTTCTTTCTCCCATGATTGTTCTCTCCAAGGAGTGTATCTACCTCAGGTAAATGTTCAACTCATATGCCTGTCTTTTGTTTGGCTGGAAGCCACAGGTGTGGGTTCAATTCCAGACCTGAAGGGCAGCTAGGGACCATAGTCCCAGTGGTTCCACCAGGCTCTATCAGACCAGCAAACTAGTCCCCCTGTCCCCTTTTTTTTGTTTCCCAAATGATTTTTAGTTTTGGTCCACATGGTTCTCCCTCTCTATCCAGGATCTCCTACAAAGATCCCCCTCCAAGTGGTTGACGGTGGTAGCTGGCCACCATCTAGTTCTTCTGGTCTCTTAATCGTATAGGCTGTGGATCACATGGTGCAACAGTCGCTAGGACTAATTATTTCCATGCATCTTAGGTTTTCTTCATTCTTCTTTGCTCTGGATGAGGAGAGACCCATCATTGCATCTAGGTGGCTGCTTGTAAGCTTTTAAGATCCCAGTTGCTACTCACCAAAGTGGGAGGTGGAACAATGTTTTGTGTAGTATGTGATGTCAATTAAGCTTGATGTCCCCTGCAACTATGGTCCTGAGCCCACAGATTCAACTACTCATTCCCTCTGGGTAGCTGGCTGTGCCCAAGAAGTGACTACAACCTTGTCCCTTGTCAGCTCTACTATACACCTGTCAATTCTTACAGAACATACAAATACAGTTGTAGAACCATTGTCTGCCAACCCTATACAGTGTCTTGGGTACATTCCCCACTACATAGACATGCCTAGTAGTTCAGCCTGTCCACTCATCTATGCACCCATATATCCACCCATGTTTGCCTTCACTGACAATGCAGTACTGTATGTGCAAAAGAGTTCATCTTTGTTGTCTGCACCTCCCATGTACCTCTCTATGTCTTCCTCTTCCTCAATGCCACCTTGTTGATCACTCACATTTGGTACATTGCCCTTCTCTTCACCCAAATCAGTACTTATCTCTACCTATCTAACAGTGTTCCCTCCCCTCCCCTCCCACCCTTGGTAACCAACAAAGATAATTTCCTTCCATACAGAAACCTTTCCTTGACTTTTGCATTAATGGACTAATACAATATTTGTCCTTCTGTGTGTGACTTATTTCACTCAGCATAATGTCTGAAGTTCATTCATGTTATGCGGTGTTTTGCAGATTCTGGGTTATTCTTTAGGGTTGCATAGTATTCCATTGCGTGTATGTACCAAAGTTTGGTTATCCATTCTTCAATTGATGGACACCTAGGTTGTTTCCATCTTTTGGCTATTGTAAATAATGCTGTGATGAACATGGCTGTGCATATGTCTGTTCTTGTCATGACCCTCACTTCTCTAGGATATATACCTAGTATTGGAATGGCAGGATCAAATAGTATGTCTATTTCCAACTTTTTAAGGAATTGCCATACTGCTTTCCATCATGGTTGTATCATTTTACAGTCCCACCAGCAGTGTATGAGAGTCCCAATCTCTCCACATCCTCACCAGCATGTTATTTTCTGTCTTGTTGAACTTTGCTACTAGTGCTGGAGTGAGATGTTATCTCATTGTTGTTTTGATTTGCATTTCTAATGGTTAATGGTTGTGAGCATTTCTTCGTATGTTTGTTGGCCATCTGAATATCCTCTTTGGTGAAGTGTCTACTCATGTCTTCTGCCCATTTTTTCACTGGATTATTTGTCTTTTTGTTATTGAGGTGTTGGAGTTTCCTATAAAGTCTAGAGATAAGTACCTTGTAAGATACATCATTGCCAAATACTTTTTCCCAATCTGTGGGTTCTCTTTTGATTCTTTTGGAGAAGTCTTTGCAAGCACATAAAAAATTAATATTTAGAAGGTTCCATTCATCTAGTTTCTCTTCTGCTGTTTGTGCATTTTGGGTTATGCTTGATAGTATATTTATGCCATATATCAGGGCTCCAATATTTGCCCCTAGTTTTTCCTTGAGGAACTCTATAGTTTTAGGTTTCACATTTAAGTCTTTGATCCATCTGGAGTTAGTTTTTGTGTATGGTGTGAGGTACAGATCTTGTTTCATTTTTCTGCAAATGGATCTCCAGTTTTGCCAGCACCATTTATTAAACAAACATTCTCTTCCCCGTTTAATGGATTTCGACCCTTTGTCAAAGATCAGCTGACCATAGCTCGATGGATCTATTTATGGGTTCTCAATTCTATTCCATTGATCTATGTGTCTGTCATTGTACCAATACCAGACAGTTTTGACTACTGTAGCTTTATAGTAGGTTTTGAGGTCTGGCAGTATGAGACCTCCCACTTTGTTCTTCTTCTTCAATAGTGTTTTGCTTATCTGAGGTCTCTTTCCTTTCCCTATAAAGTTAGTGATTGTTTTTTCCATATCTTTAAAAAATGTTGATGGGATCTGGATTGGGAGTGCATTGAATGTATAGATTGCTTTGGGTAGAATTGACATTTTCAGTGTTCAATCTTCCTTGAGCATAGGATGTTCTTCCATTTATGTAGATTTCTTATGGTTTCTTGAAGTAGTTTTTTTTTTTTTTAATTTAGTTTTCTTTGTATAGGTTTTTTGTGTCCCTGGTAAGAGTTATTCCCAAGTATTTTATTTTTTTGGTAGTTATTGTAAATGGTATTGATTTCCTTATTCCTTCTTCAGCAATCTCTTTGCTGGTGTAGAGGAAT